GGTCCCCCGTGTCCAGCAAAAAGCCCAAGTGACAAATTGGCAGTCATGGCCTTCCAAGTCATGCTACACCCTCTAGTTCTCCATCTTTTTTTTTTTAAATAGGCTCCACGCCCAACACAGATCCCAACTCACGGCCTGAACTCACAACACTGAGATCAAGATCCAACCTGAGATCGAGAGCTGGTGGCCCAACCAACTGAGCCACCCAGACGCCCCTAGCTCTCCATCTTTTTAATTCCACTAAACCTGAGCTTTTGAAACTGGGGTCCATCTAACACCTGGATAGCCAAGTGGCAGAAAACAGGATGAGAACTGTGCCTCTCCCTGGATCCTCAATTGTGCATAGGAGGGGTGGGGACTTTCCAAGCTCTGCCCCTCTTCTCTGGGAAGTGTTCCCTCCCACAGCACAGGTCTCCGTAGCCACGTGAAACCAGGGGTGGAAACCCCATTTTCTAGAACCAATCCAGAAGCCGAGCCAGGCCATCAACCTCTCCACCAGGAACCAGGAAGTGGGACACAAGGCCAGCGTGGTTACCTTCAGACACGTGAGGTCACGGGGATATGGGGGCTGAAGCCGCCTTCTTCCCCAGACGACTATGTGATACCTTCTGGGGCCTGTGTGATGACAAGTGAACAGATGTGCAGAAAGAAGCAGAGGCGGGGCAGCCAGAATGATGAAGCAGTTCCCTTTGTTCCTGATGACTTCCCAGCCTCAAGTGAGGCCCTGATGTGGTCTACTATTACTTAACCACGCTTCAGTCCCCTGAGGCACCTCTAATTCCCTAAAACAAGTTTCCCTTCAACATCAGCAGCTTGAGAGGGCTTATGTTTCTTGCAAACAACCTCGAAGATTACATAATTTTTATTATTTTTTGTAAAACAAATAAAGACACACAATAGAGCAGAATATAGAAGTCACAAGAGTATTAGCAACAAAGTTCTTTCTAAAACAAGATTAAAAAAAAAAAGTAAAGTCACAAAGGACAAGACAAATCTGACTCCAATAAAACGTCAACTATGTGATATAGAACATGATACTAATCGAGGTAAACATTCCTCCTAATTACCACCCCCTTGCGATAATGTATTTTCTTTGAGGTCATATGTTGGGAAACACACACATTTCCACAGCAAATACCTCCAGGGAGAGTATTAGGATTGTGAAGCATGATCAGAGGTGAATTCTGCCTTTTCTGTTATGTTTTTATATGTTTTAATTATAAATGATTATGTCCTTATACCACTATATGTTAACTATCTAGGAATTAAAATTTAAAACTTAATAAAAAATTATCATGTCCTTTGTGCAATTAAAACTTCATTGACCTTCAAATAAATATATGAGACGCAAGCCTTTGAAGATCTCCTCTTTGTGGAAGACTGCTTTATCTAACACCTAGCAGGAGATACACGCTCAGTAGTAGTTTGAGATGCACAATACAGCATGAATTCTTAGCACCAATCAAAATAGTTTACTTGGTCCTTGTATATGCTCTCTTCCCACATCTCCAAATTCATTCACTTACCCTCTCCACTGAATGATGGAGTTCCTCCATTTCTCAAGACCCATCTGGAAGTCACCTCTTCCAGGAAGCTCTCCATGACTGCACCAATCCTCACTGTTCTCTCCCCCTGACCCCATTGACCTCTTATGGCACCCTTCTGTACTTCTTTCTCTCTAGGCACTCAGGACAGACTCCTGGGATTCCTACTCGTCTCCCTAAGGCAGGCACATCTCCCAACCAGCCATCAAACCAGAGCAGCATCTCTATGTCCTTGGTGCCTGGCCCAGAGATGGCATGGAGAACTGGATAAAGAATATACTTAGAGTCAGACATAGCCACTATGTGACACTAGGTGACTGCCTTAACCTTCTTGGGTCCATTTTCACCTGTGTTCTTGTGATTACCAGTAAGATGATGACTGTAAAGGGGTCCAGAACAGGAAAGAGGTGGTTGACAGAATGATTTATTTGTCTTAATATTCCCTCACATTTGTACAGTGTTTCACAATTAAAAACAAAAAACTTCAGGATGCCTGGGTGGCTCAGTCGTTAAGCATCTGCCTTCAGCTCAGGTCATGATCCAGGGTCCTGGGATCGAGCCCCACATCGGGCGCCCTGTTTAGCAGGATGCCTGCTTCTCCCTCACCCCCCCACCCTGTGTTCTCTCTCTCACTGTCTCTCTCTCTGTCAAATGCATAAATAAAAATCTTAAAAAAAAACAAACAAAACTTTAACAACCTAGAGAGGAAAGCAAGGAAGGATTATTAGACCCATTTTAAGGGTAGAATAACTGAGGTTCAGAGAAGTTACATAGGGAGAACAGGCATTTGGACTTTGGAAGCAAACAGAATAGGACCAGGGATTAGAATATTTGGGTGGCAATGCCAATTCTTCTATTACCCAGAGGAAGGAGCTCGGACAAGTCTCTTGTCCTTTCTGGACATCAGTTTTCCAACTTATATGAGAGTTCCTAGGTGACCTCTATCTTAAATGGCTGCTCAATGCTGACATTCTAGTTCAGTGGCCTGCCAAGGGTCCTTCCTAGAGGACCTAAAGAGTCCTGCAAGTCCCAGGACAGTGTCTCTAGTTACTCCCGAGGAAGCCATAGGGGACTGGAAGGCGTGCTTTAAGAACCTGTTGCATTTTAATTCAGCCAAATGGAGCCTCAAGCCAGGGGGTGGGTTAGACATGCCCAGAATGGGAGTACGGTGGAGCAGGGGCGGGGGTGCGGGGAGCTGGGGGGAAGGGGAGTGGGCGGATGCCAGCATCAAACTGCATGTAAATATAAACATGAATGCAAAATCAAACAGGAAACCTCAGGAAAGTCCAATCCAAAGGTCAGATGCTAACTTTTCGGACACTAAAACACTGAAGAGGAAAGCTATGTTTGGGTGCCACAGGCTTTCTGCTGCGAAAACAAACCATCACACGGACCGAACCAAAGTCCTAAAGGCAAACGAGGCAGGATTTTTGTCTGGCCTGAACTGGGGCAAAGCTGAGCCCTGACCAGAGTCTACGACAGCCTCCAGACCCGTTCCAAGGGGTGCCCCCCCCATACTCCTTCCCACCCGCGCTCATTCCCCAGCACACACAAGTACTAACACACACCAACCCAGGCAAGGCCAGATGCACAGGATAAATGGGCATTTCTGTTCCTGGAGAAAGGTTCATAGTACAGTCCCTTCTCCGGCTCCTGATCTGATTTAACATTTTAATGAACAACCCAGAGAGCAGGGTGAACTGTGAAAAACCTAACGATGCCAGTGGCACTGAACTCTTCCAGGTCAAGGAATGTGAAGCCATGAAGACGAACCTCTGGCAGCACTTTCCCATCAGGACCACAGTTGCCCTGTGAACCTCCCAGAAACACAGAATCCACATTCATAGTGCGGAGACTTCAAGTTACCGGTTCTGCCTGAGGAAAGAGGCCAAAAGGTCATTGGCTGCTTCTTTTTTTTTTTTTTTAAGATTTTATTTATTTATTTGACAGACAGAGATCACAAGTAGCCAGAGGTAGGCACAGAGGGAGAGAGGAGGAAGCAGGCTCCCCACTGAACAGAGAGCCCCATGTGGGGCTCAATCCCAGGACCCTGAGATCATGACCTGTGCTGAAGGCAGAGGCTTTAACCCACTAAGCCATCCAGGTTCCCCAGCTGCTTCTTATTTTAATGAAAGCCTGTAACCCTACTATGTGCAGTGCACTAGGCTAGGCTCTGTGAGAGAAATGAGGACGAAAGAGACCCGGTCACCGTCTAAAAAGGTCCATCAACTAACCTGATAATCATTCCATTTATAAAGATGCATGCTTTATTCACACTGACTCATATAATACCATAGCCCTGTGAGGTAAACATTATTATCCCATTTTATAGATCCCAAATGTGAGGCTCAAACAGCTCAGGTCATACACCCAAGCTCACACAGCTGGCAAACTGCAGGGCCAGAATTTGAACACAGCTCTGCCTCTAGCAAAGTCAATGCTCTTCCCACACTCCTCTAACACCCCTACAGAGAGATCCACAGACTCTGGGATGGGGGTTCAGCCTGCCAGGGAGAGGGGAAGAAAGAGATACTCCTCAAGACACTGGCCCAGGGTATTCTGAACTATTGAGCTTTTTATTTGCCACATAGTGGGCGCTCAAGACTCTCATGGTGAAGGCTGGAGATGAGAGCTCCTGCTAAAGTCAAAAATGCCACCCAATTCGGGACATCCTCTGAAAGGGAGGTGCACAACCTCATTATCCTCCCTTGACCCAAAGCCGCAGGGTGTCTGCCCTAGAACAGTCCGGGCAGAGGAGCCCCCCCCCCAAGCGTGCAGCAGGCCCGTTGGGGTGGGGGCTAGGAATGAACTCCAGTGCAGACGGGAATGGGGTGGGGCAGCCTGCAAGGGCGAAAGAAAAGGCCTGGGACGCGTTGCTGGGAAAGACAAAGAGAAAAGGGGAGGGGAGGGGAGACTACAAACTTGCCAACAGCCTGGCCAAGGTGAACCCCGGCTCCTGGAGCCTTCTCATTCGCATTCATTCCACAAGCGCCGGCCAAATCTCAGAACCCGCAGCCAGGGGGAGGGGGCCTCCCTGAAGCTGCGGAGAAGTTAAGTTCAGACTGAGGCGGGAAGGCCTGTTTTCCAAGAGGGGAGTGACTTGGGGAGCAAACTTGTGGGGCTCCGAAGACGAAAACCCAAACAGATGCAGTGAGGCGCTGAACAAACATGCATGCGACGGGGCAGGTCAACACGAGCACTGGGGTTATGACCCCGACCTGTGAAGCCTGTCATCGAGATGACCTCAAGCCCCCCCCACCGCCGCACAAAAAGTCCCTCGGGCCCCCATCCGGACTCGACAGTGAGGTCGCTGATGTTTGAGATGCACTCGGTTCTCACAGAGCTAGAGAAGGGTCAGGTTTCTGGGGCGCGGTAAGCGCCATCACGGTCACGCCCGTGAAGGTCAAAGCGAGGCCCTGCCGGGACCCCCGACCCCTCCCGCCTCGGCCCCCTCACCTCCTCCCGCGCCAGTGCCGCCCCCCGGCACCGGGGCATCTTGGCGGCAAAGGCAGCGGCCCCGGCCGGGGAGCTGAGGTCCTCCGCGGTGACGGCCAGGAACTCGGCGACGCTGAGCTGCTCGGGCATGGCGGGCGCGGGGTGGGGGTGCCGGGACTGCCGGAGCGGGGCGCGGGGGGCGCTCGCTGCACGGAACTGGGCTGGCTTCACAGCCCACCGCGAGCGCCGTCGGGGCCTCCGCACGCCCCGCCCTCTCCGCGCCGCCCCGCCCTCGACTGCCCTCGCCCTGCCCAGCCGCGTTCCCTCGCGTCGGGGGAGCCTAGAGCTTCCCCACCCCTCCCGCCTTTAGGCCCCGCCCCCGCCCCCGGCCTTCCAGCCTCCCCCCGCCCACCCCCCCTTAGCCTGGACAGCCCGGCCCAGGACCATCGCCGAGCTCCCCAGCCCCACCCCCAGGCCTCCCAGCCTGAGAGCTCCGCCCCTGACTGACTGCCCCGCCCCTGGCCCCCTATCGGGCTCCTCCGCCCGTCCACCAAGCCTCTGAACCCGGGAGCTCCGCCCCTCACCGGGCTCTTCGGCCCCGCCCCCAGGCCGCCCATCCCCTCAGAGCTTCGCCCCTGACTCACTGTCCCGCCCGGCCACCGGGACTCGGAGCCCCGGAGCTCGAGACCTCACCGGGCTCCTCCGCTCCGCCCCCAGGCTTCCCAGGCCCTGAGAGCTCTGCCCCGACTCCCTGCCCCGCCCCCGGCCCCTCGCCGGGCTCCCCTTGCCGGGCTCCCCTGCCGGGTTCCCAGCCCGCCCAGCCCCAGAGAGCTCCGTCCCGACTGCGCCGCCCCCGCCTGCCTGCGAGCTTCTCTGCCACTTCTCCCTCTCGGCCCCTCCACGGCCACGCCCCCTTTCGTCCCTCTCCTGGGCCTCCCAAGTTTGCTACCCTCCCGCTGCGCGGGCGCCCCACCTCCGCGTCCCTCCTGCCTGCGCCCTGTGTCTTCTCTTACGGATTCGTTCCTAGCCCTCGTGACTTCGCCCCTTCGGCCTCATCCCAACTCCGGACCCCATCTCTCCACCAAGCCCACCTGGTCTGGGCCCCCCTCTCCGCTCCCAACTGCACCACTCCCTTGCGCCTCACGCCCAGCTCTTGGCCTCCGCTCTGCGATCCCCCGGAGCCGCCCACCCGCCCCTTGGTTCGGCCGCCCATGGGTCTGTGTGGCTCGGTGCCCTTGGGTAGCTGTGTGATCTGGAGGCGGGTACATTCCTTCTTGGAACCTCGGTTTCCTTCTCTGCGAAGTGAGAAGTCTGATGCCCACTACACTGTGAAGTTGCGAAGAAAGAACCTAACACGTGCGCGTAACGAATAAGCTCTGAGCAACCCGTTCGCCCTTTGCGGACCCTCTCACCGCGCCCTCATTCTTCCGGGGCTCAGTATAGTGCTTTTCACTCCTCAACCCTGCTCACTGCACTGTCGGTAGTGGGCTGAAGACTGCCACTCTTCCCCACTGTTAACCCTTACCTCTTGGAAACCACCTACTTCCTTGGGCGGATGAGGAATGGGGTTCAGGATAGAAATCCACTTGGGTTTTGTTCTGGAGCCTGAAGTCCTATGGAAAGGATTTATTCAGGTTAAAAATATTTAATTAATTAAAAAAATAAATCAGGGAAGACCTGCGATGAAGAATATTGGCTTTGGAATTTCATAGATCTGAGTTCCAATCGTGATTGCTGCTGCTGACTGGCTGTGTGCGGCTAAGCAAATTGCTTGCTTCTCTAAACTTGAAGTTTTCTTTTTCTTTCTCTCCCTCACTCTTTCTCTCTCTCTCTCTCTCTCTCTCTCTTTTTTTTTTTTTTTTTGAGTGGGAGAGAAAATCTTAAGCACATTCCAAGCCCAGTGGGGAACTGGACGGGGCTGATCACACAACCCTGACTGAGGCAAAATCATAACTAAGCCACCCAGGCTCCACCAAACCTAAATTTTCTTCTCTTAAAGTGGCCTAGTAATATTTTACTCCATAAGGTGATTGAGACTATTACATACTTTACATAGGAGGGGAAAAAAAACACTAAAAAATATACACTAAGATATCACCGGCTGAGGACATTATGAGTCATTTTTTTTTCTTTTGGCAAATCTGTATCTCCTAACTTCTCTGCAAGGAGCATATACTACTTGTGTAATAGAATTAAATGTTGAAAAACTCTGTACAGTCTGCCAGAGGAGACAGGACAAATATGCTGTGAAATACAACTCAGTCACCCTTCAACTCACTCCGGTCTGTTTTCAGCAGGAATCCCTCCAGAGTTATTTCAAGGTCAATGAGGATCTCTCTCTTAAAATGCAACCGGCACTTTTCTTGCTTGACCTCTAGGAATATTTTGCACTGTTAATATTTTGCACTCCCTCCTTCTTGAAACACTCTTTCCTTTGAATTTTGAGAGAATTATCTTCCTTGGTGGTTTTCCTCCCTCCCTGGCTGCTCCGCAGGGCCCTTTCTCAGATGTCCTTTCTCTGCCTGTATCTTAAATGCTGGAATCATTGGGAGCTCCCTTCTAGACCTTTTGCTCTTCTCACTCCGCCCAGGCTTTCTGGACACTTTCATCCATCCCCACCAGCTTCCTTCACACCATTAATGTGGATATTTTCTGTGTTAGTTTCCTATCGGGACTGTAACAAATTATTGCAAACTTGGTGGCTGCAAACAACACACATTTATTCTCTTGCAGTTCTGGAGGTCAGAAGTCTGAAATGAGTTTCTCGCATGGAAATCAAAGCACCAGCAAGACTGCACTCCCTCTGAAGGTACTTGGTGGGCATCCATTTCCTTACCTTTCCCAGCTTCTAGAATTGCATTTCTCGCATTCTTTGGCTTATAGTCAACTTCCTCCATCTTCAAGGGCATCTTGCCTCTGTGTCATATCATATTGCTTTCATTTCTGCGGTCAAATCTCCCTCCGTCTCCATTTTATAAGCACATTTGTGATTACATTTAGGATCCGCCCAGATAATCCACGATAATTTCCCTATCTCAGGATCCTTACATTAATCACAACTGCAACATTCCTTTTGGTATATGAGATAATATTTATAGGTTCCAGGGATTAGGACCTGCATGTCTTTGGGGGCCATTACTGAGCCTACCACATCTTCCAAGGCTCTAGCTCCAGCTCTGACCCTTTTCTGGCTTAAGATCTATGTATCCGGGCGCCTGGGTGGCTCAGAGAGTTAAAGCCTCTGCCTTCAGCTCAGGTCATGATCCCAGGGTTCTGGGATCGAGCCCTGCATCGGGCTCTCTGCTCAGCAGGAAGCCTCCTTCCTCCTCTCTCTCTGCCTGCCTCTCTGCTTACTAAAGATCCAGTGGCCCATGGGATGGTGCGTATCTTACATGCATATCTCACAGACGGATCTCTCAAACTCTACGTTGTCTAAAACTGAACTCACCATCTTGTACCCTGCCCCTGGCCCTGGCTCCTTCTCTGTCCCTGTCTTGGTGAAAGGTATCACCTTGTACCACCTCAGGGTAATCCTCTCCATCTCTTTCCACCAGCTTCCACTCGGTCAAGTCTTATCACTGTCTCCTAATGTCTCACCAATATGGCCACCTTCTCCTTCTCCAGACCAACCCCAGTCCAGGCCAAGCTACCTCTCACCTCCTCACAGGTCTCCCTGCCCCCAGTCTTGCATGTCTGATCTGATATTGCCCTGCTTAGAGCTCTCTAATGGTCTGCATTGCTCTCTGGGTGAAAGATGAACTTTTTTTCCTGGCTAGCTGGTCCTGCACGATCTTGTCACTCCTGCCATTTACAGCCTTATCTCTCACCCCACCCCTCTATCCCTGACATCATCTGAGACCTCTAGCTATACCGCCTACTGCCTGTAATACTCCCCGACCTCTTTTCAGCTGCCCAAATTCAATGTCGCTTGCTTCAGGAAGCCTTCCCCAACGTCCTTTTGGAGATACCCACAGGACCTGCTATGCCCTGCTATAACACCTCTCACTGTGCACTGTAATCACTTGCTTGCCGATCTGGGTCTCTGGCCCACGTGTTTATTTACTGAGCACTTACTATGTACCAGTCACAATGCCAAGGGCTATACAAGCAATAATTTGCTCAGTACCCCCAACAACCCAGGGAGGCAGGTAACATTATTCTTGCCATCTCTGTGTGGTAGGTGGGAAAACTAAAGCTTAGAGAGGTTAATTAGTATAAAATCAGAATGAACAAGCAATAGAACCCAGATTCCAGCCCAGGTCTGCATGACTCAGAAGCCTGTTTTTGTTTTGTTTTATCACCAAGCTATGCTACCTAACTTGAAAATGTTGCCTCTTGCAAATTGAGTAGATATAAATGTTCCATGTGTTCTCTCCTATAATTAAAACATACCACCCACTAGAGGCAGAATACTGTCATCATATCTTACAGGCTAACAAATTCCTTACTAGCTTGCAAAGCAACTACTTCAAGGTCAAATCCTTTATCAAATGCTCAGACTGAGAGACACATGTTATTACTCTTGTGGCCCATTTCTGAAGCTTAAGTTTTATTTCAAGATCTTTGGGAGAAGGGGCGCCTGGATGGCTCAGTTGTTAAAGGGTCTGTCTTCCGCTCAGGTCATGATCCCAGGGTCCTGGGATCAAGCCCCACATCTGGCTCCCTGCCCTGCAGGAAGCCTGCTTCTCCCTCTCTCACTCCCCCTGCTATGTTCCCTCTCTGACTGTGTCTCTCTCTGTCAAAATAAATAAATAAATAAATAAAGGGGAAATTAAATAACAAATGGTAAGTAAATTACAGTATTTTGGGGAAAATAAGATAAACCTGGGACCCTATCAGCATCAGTTATGAAATTTGGGGGAATTTTCAGAGAAAATATGTGCCTTCAAGGAAATTTCCAGTTGCTTCAAGTTATGTCCCCAGATCACCCTATGAAACAACTCAACTTTACTAGGGCTATTTCAAGGGAAGAGTTTGAGACACACTACATATAAAATAGCCATTTCTAAGTCCCTGGGCCAAACTATACAAATCTGACTCCCAGAAATTTTCTTATTCACTCGTCAAACAGTCACCACGCAGTTCCAGGCAGATTCCTGAGCGGAAAATGAGCAGTGGGGAAGGTGTGGATACAGAGATTGGCACGATAT